TAAGTCGCCCATGGTCAGAGCTTTGCCCTGCATGTATGAGCTCTTCTGGCCCAACTGCAGAGCCATGTTCAACCATCGCCTATTGCTCTCGGTCATAACTCTTACGCCTTGGCCATCCGTGCTGTTCTGTGGTGGTTATACATCACTGCAATTATCACCTTGGGACCTCCATAGTGAAGCGTTCCCACTATGCAATCATTTCCTTCTTCCGCTGTCTCCTCTCTCCAGCTCATCAAAATTCCAACGAGTTTGAATCATGCAATGGCCACTCGCTCCCCCCCCTGTTTTCCTATCTGTCTTTCCTCAGATCTGGTATCACCCTTTGGGAAGATGGGCATCTGTTATCATATTACCTGAAAGCTTGGTATTCTGATGATTGCGAGATGTCTGGTGATCCTCTTTGACTCATTCGGCCACTCCCCCCACTGTGTTTGTTATCCATCGAGCATTTTGGTGTACCATACCTTCAGTTTCCCCTCTCCAACACTGTGGTTTTGGGGGGGCCCTGAGGGGGTGGGAGACGCTGGTAGCAAACTGTGGGATTCTATGGTGGGGGTTGGGTGGAACTGTGGGTATGGATTGTATTGTGTGTTGGGATGGTGTGATAGGTTGTGGGGTTCTGAGGATAGTTGTGTGTGTTGCTTGCTCTAGCGCTCTGTTCTGCTCTGACTGACCTCGCTGGTTTCCACCTCCTTGTCTCCTTTCCTCACTCCTTTCGTTCGCTTTTTTGTCCTCTCCTCAGCTTCCGTCTTCTCTTTTTGTGTTCTGTCTCTGTCTAGGAAACACCTTCTTTACTCTTCCGAGCTTCTCAACCGTGGTTTTTCTTGGAGTATCCTTGTTCCTCCACTGTTTCTGTCCTGAGAATCAGCTTGATCGGTCGGTTTTCTCCCCTTCAAGTACCCCCCGCTATTCTCTGAAAATTTGACAATCTCGTCCATGTCTTTTCCCCCCTATTTTCCGTGATGATATTTCCAATCCCTTTCTTTCTCCTTCTTCCTGCCGTCTTTCAGTGTGTTTCATTCCTCTCTCTCCCAAAGCCAAGGATAAACACTGATTTTGCCCTTTCCTCCTCCCATTGCCTTCCCTCTGTGACTCTTGTTTCCTGTCTGTATGAGGTCATTTTCCTCCTTGATTTTCCCACAGTGGCTCTTGGTAGCATGTTTGCCTCAGCAATCGACCTATCTCCTCTCCATTCTGCAACCATCTGCTCTCCCTTCCACTCCCTGCCCACATCTTTGCATGCATGAAAGGACCTTATCATATTCATATCTCCTTCCTTCTGTTCACCTACTATCAACGTATGGTGGTCTTCTCTGGTCACTACCCCTGAGACTGCTTCAAGCCCTGTTATACCTCACATTCTAGGACCTTTACCCCTGGCTACTGCCGTTTGCGACTGTGCCTCCCCAATGCTTCGTCTCCTTCTCCAACCTCTTTTTCCCATTTCACAGAGAGCTCTTTCTCCCATTTTTTCCAGAAAGCACTCCTAATTTCTTCTCTCCCATATCATGCTCTAAAAACCTTTTTCCACTGCTCCTCCATCCATTCCTCCCTACCAGTAACCAATGCATCTGATCCTCTGATTACCTGCGAGTCCAACCATTTTTTTTTTTTTTTTTTGTAAAAGGAGAAAGTGAAAAAGAAAAAGGGGGAGAGAGTTAGAGAGAGGGCAGAAAGAGAGAGAAGGGAGGGTAGGGGAGGAGAAAAGGGGAGAAAAGTGAGAGAGAAGGGAAAGGTAAGAGGGGGATACAAGGGAAAAGAGGAGAGAAGAATAGGAAGAAGAGAAAAGAGAGGAAGAGAGAGAGGGGGAGAGAGAGAGGAGGGAGGAGGAGGGAGAGAGAGAAGAGAGAGGAAAGAAGAGAGTGTAGAGGAAGATAGAGAGAATAAGAGAGAAGAGGGAAGGGAAGAGGATGAGAGAAAGGGGAGAGAGAGAGAGAGAGAGAGAAAGTGAGGAGAGGAAGGAGAGAGAGGAGAGTATAAGGCAGGGGGGAGGCAGGGTTAGAGGATCACATCACAGGAAGGGTGTGAAAATCCTGTATATGGGTGTGTGTGTTGGTCTGTATGTGTGTGTGTGTGTGTGTGTGTGTAGTGTGTGTGTGTGTGTTGTATGTGTATGTGTGTGTTGTGTGTGTGTGTGTGTGTGTTGTGTGTGTGCCAGTGTGTATGTGTGCCCCGCCTCCCACTTCTAAGTTTCATACTGCTAATAAATATCATAGTAATACCCGTATTTTCTAAAACTACCAACATGATTCTAGCACTTCTACTTATATAACACCAGAAAGTAATTAGGTGTAAAATTTAGCTTGTCAACGCTTCAGGAGTGTCTTACGTCACCCTACACTAGGCCTTCCCCCTCGCTAGGCTTCCCTCGCTAGGCAGCCCTCGCTAGTCAACACTATCTCACATATCTATGCTATTCTGCTTCTAATTCCAGTAATAGTAGCTTGCAGAGTGAGTGACCAGTACTAACAGTGATGCCTGGCAGGATTCAGAACCCCCGAAAACCACAACCCCAACCGTGGTGATACTTAACTGGCAGTGATGCATGACAATTGCCAGATCTGATGACGTAGTCGTCGTACACACTCCTTCTATCAATATTTTGAAAATTCTTCACCTGTGATCTTTATAACCTAAATGCTCTATGCATCCGCGTCCTCAATGTCACTTATGATAGAATACACTTCCTTCTATTGGAAACACTTCACATTCCCGGTATTACACTATTATATTATAATGTTCACACAACTGTTGGACGGTCACTGTTTCAGCAGGCCTACTGCTCCTTCCCTTCGTTATTATTATATTAATGTTCCTTCTACTTTGCTTTTAACTTTTTTCACTCCACTGATGGTTCCCCCACATTACACTTGTTTATCCAATCTCTACTAAATTCTTGAACAACCCCCGCGTCCACACTACTTGAATGCTTTGTATAGTTTAATCAGTGTAGCAACAGAAGCCTACTAGCCACTAACGGTTTTGACACTTTGAAAAATATTAAAGATTTCAGGCTTCCTCCGACTTGTTTTTAACCTAATAAACTCCTGGTTATCACTCGTAGGAATTGGGTTCCACTGACGGTTGTCACTACCACTTATTACTGCTAGCAGTTACTGCACGACTTAAAAACCACTAAGTTCTCGGAGCCTGTGACCCACTCTGCTGACTGACTGTGTAGTTGTGGTGTGTGTGTGTGGTGAGTGTGTGTGTGTGTGTGTGTGTGTGTGTGTTGTGTGTGTGTGTGTGAGTGATGAGGTTTTTACAGATGTCTGTTATGGTAGGCAGACGAACCATGGTATTGAGGTTGTGGGGGGAGGGTAACGTGGGAGTTTTCCCTGAACATCACCCCACACGTGGTGGGGAAGTGTGGGGTGCGTCCTCTACCTGTATGGAGTGTTGGATTGTGAGGGAATGGGGAGGTGTCCCTTTTAAACTTTCCCACACCTGGTGGAAGAGAGCGTACCTGTGGGTTGATGCAGAAGAAACGATGCTCGAAACCTCAGGTGAGTGTATCAGGTGTTTACCTGGAGTTTTACCTGGAGAGAGTTCCGGGGTCAACGCCCCCCGCGCCCGTCTCGACCAGGCCTCTGGTGGATCAGAGCCTGTATCAAACCAGCTTTACTGCACATTAAAAAATGGTAAAAAATACCGACAGTTGTTAGATAAGACACAAATGCAACAGTTAGGTATCTTTATTAAGAAACGTTTCTCCTACACAGTAGGCTTCTTCAGTCAAGAACTGAAAGTTGATGAGAAGCGCAGACGATACTTGAAGACGATGTAAACAGTCCATCACCCTTAAAGATTTTGAGGTGGTCAGTCCCTCAGTCTGGAGAAGGAGCATTGTTCCATAGTACTAAACAATATGGAGATGAAGTGCCAGGATGGAGTCTTTTTATAGCGCCAAAGGTTAGACGTGTAGGCCCCTAGGAGAGGTATGAATGCAATGCTGAAGAGACAGTCCCTCTCAAATCCATCCACTCTCACTAGTGGAAGTGTCGAAGTTGATTGCAGTTCCTGTACCAAGATACCCTTGTGTTGCAGTGTCCAGACAGAGTGAACATTAAATGGTATAAAATACCGACAGGTTGTTAGGTAAGAACACATAGCCTACGTCTCACTCTGGCGCTATAAAAAGCTCCATCCTGTTACTTCATCTCCATATTGTTTCATCCTATGGAACAATGCACTTCTCCAGACTGAGGGACTGACCACCTCAAATCTTTAAGGGTGATGGACCTGATTACATCGTCTTCAAGATATCTTCGCTTCTAACAACTTTATCTGTACTTGACTGAAGAAGCCACTGTGTAGGCGAAACGATACATAATAAAAGATACCTAACTGTTTCATATGTGTCTTACCTAACAGGCTGTTACGCTGCTGCACCAATCCAACCGTACGAGCCAGCAGCCCGGCTTGGTCAGGTACCGATTTTAGGTGCTTGTCCAAGTGCCACTGGAAACTGTCCCCAGGTCTATTGGTAATTCCCCCTTATATGCTGGAGGCAGTTGAACAGTCCTCGGGCCCCTGACCCGCTAGATACGGCTAAACAAAAAGTTCTCTCTGTAGACTAGTGAAATTTGTGTTTTGTTCCAGCCACGAGTATTGTGCCTTTTTATCCTTCCTACCTGAGTTTACCTGGATAGAGTTCCGGGGGTCAACGCCCCCTCGCCCGGTCTGTGACAAGCCTCCTGGTGTGGTGTGAGGTGCGTGTCTTAGTGAGTGTCTCAGGTAAATTGTGAGGTGGGTGTCCTAGGGAGTTTGAGTAGTGCTTTCAGGGATGCGGCACACACTCTCCTGGTGTTGTGAGGTGCGTGTCTTAGGTGAGTGTCTCAGGTAAAATGTTGTGAGGTGGGTGTCCTAGGTAGTTTGAGTATTGCTTCAAAGGTGATGCGGAAGCACACTTCTCTTCTCAGATGGTCCTTCACCTGTTCGGTGTCCGGTGCCCTCACTCTTTCAGACCCAGCATTGAAGAATGCGCCTCGGTGCCGTAGAAGGCAACCAGGGGTGGACAACCTCCACCAGCCATCGCTAACGGAGGCTACCTACCACCCCCAAGGGCCGGAGTCCTCCTGAACAGCAGCGGCAGCAGACAGCAGCAGTGTAACGCCGCAGGTGACCGGCCTCACAGGTAGCAGCGGCAAGCGCATTCCTCCGGAGAACGTGGTGAGTGCGTCCTGCCCCCTAGGCCCTTGTTATGCCCTCCAGGGCCACTGTGGTGCTCGCCTAGGACCACTGTGTGGCCCCTAGGGTCAAATACCCGCAATGAGGGACAATACCAGTCTCCCCAGCCAACTCCATTCTCAAAACCCCACTTGTTTTTAATGAAGCAGTGCAACTCTCCTCCCCCTCTCCCTCCCTCTGTCTTTTTCCTGAAGAAATTGATATCTCGGACGGAAAAGATTGAATCTGTTATTATTCGGTGAGTTTTGTTTCTGTATTGCTTTATGTCTGGGGATGTCTCTTTGATTCTTTTCCGTGCCACCCTCAAACTTGTTTGTTATTCCATCTGCATTGTATACCACACACCTTCAAGCTTCTTTTCTAAGACGTGGTCTGGGAAGTATATTGGGTGGGGAAGTGTGTGTGTGTGAGTGTGTGTGTGTCAGGCAGGTGTGTCATGAGTGTTGTGTGGTCAGCAGGGTGGTTCATAAGTGTGAGGTTGTGTCAGCAGGTGTGTCATGAGTGTGTGTGTGTGTGTGTGTCAGACAGGTTTGTCATGAGAGTGTGTGTGTGTGTGTCAGCAGTGTGTCATGAGTGTGTTGTCAGCAGTGTTTCTATGAGTGTGTGTGTGTGTGTGTTGTGTGGTGCATCAGGTTGTGGTCATGAGTGTGTGTGTCAGCAGTTGTGTCATGAGTGTGTGTGTGTCAGCAGGTGTGCCATGGTGTGGTGTGTCATCAAGGTGTACCATGATGTGTTATGTGTGTCAGCAGGTGTCCATGATGTGTGTGTCAGCAGTGTGCCATAGTGTGTGTGTCTTCACAGTTTGTGCCCATGAATGTGTGTGTGGTGTGTCAGCAGGTGTGCCAAGTGTGTTGTGTCAGCAGGTGTGCCCAAGAGTGTGTGTGACAGCAGGTGTGCCATGAGTTGTGTGTGTGTCTGCAAGGTGTGACATGAGTTGAGTGTCATCAGGTGTCCATGGTGGTTGTGTTCAGGCAGGGGTGCCTTGATGGGGGGGGGTGGGGTGTGTGGTCAGCATGTGTGACATGAGTGTGTGTGTCAGCAGGTGAGTCAGATTGTGTGTGTCGGAGCAGGTGTGCCATGAGATGTGGTAGTGTTCCAGCAGGTGGGCCATGATTGTTGTGTCCCGGTGTGCCATGATGTGTATGTGTGTGTGTCAGGCAGGTGAGCATGAGTGTGTCAGCAGGTGTGTCAGGTGTGTCAGCAGTTGTGTCATGTGTGTAGTGTCAGCATTGTGTCATGTGGCGTGTGTCAGCAGGTTGAGTCATGTGTGTGTGTCAGCAGGGTGACCATGAGGTATTTGTCAGCAGTTGTTGCCATGAGTGTGTGTTGCCATCAAGGTGTGTCATGAGTGGTGTGTGTCAGCAGGTGTGTCAGAGTTGTGTGTGTCACAGGTTGCCATGAGTGTTTCAGCAGGTGTGACATGTTGTGTGCGGCAGCAGGTGTGTCATGATGTGTGTGTCAGCAGGTGTGCGGAGTGTGTGTGTCAGCAGGTGTGCCTGATGTTGTGTCAGCAGGAGTTCGCATAGTGTGTGTGAGACACAGGTGTGCCATAGTGTGTGTGTAAAAAACACAGTGTGCCATGAGTGTGTGTGTCAGCAGGTGTGTCATGAGATGTGTTTGTGTGTGTCAGCAGGTGTGCATGAGTGAGGTGTGTCAGCAGGTGATGCCATGAGTGTGTGTGTCAGCGGTGTGCAATGATGTGTGTGTCAGCAGTGTGTGCCATGAGTGTGTGTGTCAGCAGGTGTGCCATGAGTGTGTGTCAGCATGTGTGCCATTAGTGTGTGTGTCAGCAGGTGTGCAACAATGAGTGTGTGTGCACAGGTGTGCTCATGAGTGTGATGTGTTGTGTGTGTGTGTCGGCAAGTGTGTCATGAGTTTGTGTCAGCAGGTGTGTCATGTGTGTGTGTGTGTGTGTGTGTGTGTGTGTGTGAGTGTGTGTCCAGCAGGTTGTCAAGTGTGAGTCACAGGTGTGCCCATGCTGTGTGATCTCAGGGTGCCATAGTTGTGTGTGTCAAGCAGGTTGTCATGTGTGTGGTATGAGCGTCGTGTCAGCATATGTGAGTCATGTGTGTCAGCAGGTGTGTCAAGTGTGAGTGTGTCCACCTAATTGTAATGTGTGCGGTCGCAAGGTGTATCATGAGTGTGTGAATGTGGTATGTGTCCGCAGGTGTTTCGTGTGTGTGTGTGTGGCCAGCAGGTGTGGTCATGATTTGTGCGTTGTGTTGTCAGCAGTAAGTCATGTTGTGTCGCAGTATGTCACGTGTGTGTCATCAGTATGCACTAGTGTTCAGCAGTATGTCACGAGTGTGCCAGCAGGTATGTCACGTGTGTGTCAGCAGTATGTCAACGTGTGTGGTCAACGGTATGTCACGTGGTGAGTCCGCAGGTGGTTTATATGTGTGTCACCAGGTATGTCACGTGTGTGCCACATGTGTCTGAATGTGTGTGTGTGTGTGTGGCAGCAAGTTTTGTCAATGTGTTATGTGTGTGTGTGTGTGTGTGTTGTGTGTGTGTGTATGTGTGTCAGCAGAGTGTCCTTGTGTGTGTGTATGTGTGTCAGCAGGTGTGGTCATGAGTATGTGTGTCCAGCAGAGTGTCTTGTGTGTGTGTCAGCAGGAGTGGTCTTGTGTGTGTGTCAGCAGGTATGCACGAGTGTGTCAGCAGGTATGTCCCACGAGTGTGTCAGCAGTATGTCACCTGTGTGTTCCAGCAGGTATGTCACTGAGTGTGTCCACAGGTATTTCCAACGGTGTGACAGCAGGGTATGTCACGAAGGTTTCTAGCAGGTATATCACGTGTCAGCAGGTATGCTCACGTTGTGTCACAGTATGTCCGAGTGTGGTCAGCAGGTGTAATCACGATGTGTGCCAGGCAGGTATGTCACGAGTGTGCCAGCATGTATGTCACGTGTGTGTCATCAGGTATGTCACGTGTGTATCAGCAGGTATGTCACAGTGTCAGCGTATTACACGTGTGTGTCAGCAGGTGTGTCACGAGTGTGTCACAGGTATGCCACAGTGTCAGCTGGTGTATCACGAGTGTCAGCAGGTATGTCACGTTGTCAGCAGGTAGTCAACGTGTGTCAATCGAGCAGGATATGTCACGAGTGTGTCAACATACAGGATATTTCACGTGGAGTGTCAGCAGGCAATGTCACGTGTCAGCAGTATTCACGTGTCCAGCAGGTATGTCACGAGTGTGTTCAGCAAGGTAATGTCACGTGTCCACAGGTATGTCACGGCAGCTGTATTCACGAGTGTGGTCAGCAGGTATGTCACGAGTCAGCAGGTATGTCACGAGTGTTGTCATCAGAATGTCACGTGACAGCAAGGTAAGTCACGAAGTGTGAGTCAGCAGGTATATCACGTGGGTGTCAGCAGGTGTTCACGGGTGTAGTCAGCAGGTATGTCCACAGTGTGTCAGCATGTATGTCAACGAGTGTGATCAGCCAAGGTATGTCACGGTCAGCAGGTATGTCACGTGTGTTTTCAGCAGGTAAGTCACGACGTTCACAGTGTATCACGTGTGTGACAGAAGGTATGTCCACTGTGTGCAGCATGTCATGTCACTAGTGTGTCAGCAGTATGTCACGAGGTGCGTCGCAGGTGTAATCACTGTGTGTCAGCAGTATGTCACGTGTGTGGTCAGCAAATATTTTCACGTGTGTCAGCAGGGTGTGTCACGTGTATGCAGCAGGTATGTCAGACGTTGTGTCAAGCAGTTGTCATGTGTGTGGGTGTGTCAGCAGGATGTCCTCGATGTGTCTGCAGGTATGTCACAGTGTGTCAGCAGCGTATGTCATGTGTGTTTCAGCATTTGTATGTCACGTGTGTGTGCAGCAGGTGTATGACCGTTGTTTCACAGGTGTGTCATGGTGTCACTGCTTGTTAACACTTCTAGTCACTTGTCGACTGATACAATAATAACATCCCAGGAAGTATATTTAAGCACAATAACCAACGCCAAGTATTTCCTAGAATTCACTAAATTGTATATTTTATATAACATTTAGAACTAATGCATTATAATTAGCACTTAGAATTGTAATTACTATATATGTAAAATTAGCGTAAGTATTTTTATGTATGTGTAAGAACACTCTAATATATATATATATATATATTATATATATAAATATATATATATATAAATATATAATATATATATATATAGTATATATATAAATATATATTAGAAATAAATATATATTTGTGTGTGGGTGTGTGTGTGTGTGTGTATAAAGATACATATATTTATATTTATATATATATATATATAATATATATATATATATATAATAATAAATATACTATATAATATATATATATATAATATAATATTATATATAAATATATAATATATATATATATATATAATATAATAAATAAATATATTTAATATATATATATATAATATCAATTTAAATATATATATAATATCAATATATCTTTCCCGGCAAAACCTAAACAATTTTTTTTTAAATTATGTATGACTAATATTAATTCTCCTGGGAGAGAGTTTATATCTGGTCGCAGTTATGTTGGTATGTATGCCTAGTGATTGTGTGTGAGTCTGGTCGCTGTTGTGTTGGTATGTGATGCCTAGTGATTGTGGTGTGTCTGGTCGCGTATGTGTAGGTATGAAGCCTAGTGATTGTGAGTGTGCCTGGTCGCTGTTTGTGGTTGGAAATTGATGCCTATGATTGTGTGTGTGTCTGGTCCGTTGTTTGTGTTGGTATGTGATGCCTAGTGATTGTGTGTGTTCCTTGTTGCTGTTGTGTTGGTATGTGATTGCCTAGTGATTGTGTGTGTCCTGGTAGCTGTTGTGTGGTATGTGATGCATAGTGAATTGTGTGTGTGTGTCTGTCGCCAGTATGTTGGTATGTGATGCCTAGTGATTGTTGTTGTGTGTCTGGTCGCTGTTGTGTTGGAAAGTGATGCCTAGTGATTGTGTGTGTTGCCTGTCGAAGTGCTGTTTGGGTATTGATCCTAGTTGATTTGTGGGTGTCTGTCGTTGTTTGTGTTGGTATGTGATGCCCTAGTGATTGTGTGTGTGTCTGGTCGCTGTTGTGTTGGTATGGATCCTAGATGATTGTGTGTGTGCCTGGACGCTGTGTGTTGTATGTTGATGCCTAGTGATTGTGAGTGTGTCTGTCGTTGTTTGTGTTGGTATGTGATGCCTATGATATGTTGTGTGTCTGGTCGCTGTTATGTTGGTTTGAGATGCCTAGTGATTGTTGTGTGTCGGTCGCAGTTATGTTGGTATGTGATGCTGAGTGATTGTGTGTGTCTGGTTCGCGGATATGTTGGTATGTGATGCCTATGATTGTGTGTGTGTCTGGTCGCTGTTATGTTTGGTATGTGATGCCTAGGTGATTGTGTGGTGTGTCAGTCGCTGTTTTGTGTTGGAATATGAGCCTAGTGATTGTGTGTCTGGTCGCTGTTGTGTTGGTATGTGACGCCTAGTGATTGTGTGTGTGTCTGGTCGCTGTTATGTTGGTATGTGATCGCCTAGTGAATTGGTGTGTGTCGTCGCTTGTTGTTTGGATGTGATACCTAGTGATTGTGTGTGTCTGTCGCTGTGTGTTTTGGTATGAAAATGCCTAGTTATTGTTGGGTGTCTGGTCGCTGGTATGTTGGTATTGATGGCCTAGTGATTGTGTGTGTTTCTTGTCGCTGTTGTGTTGGTATTGATGCCTAGTGATTGTGGTGTCTGGTCGCTGTTGTGTTGGATGTGATGCCTAGTGATTGTGTGTGTGTCGGGTCGTAGTTGTGTTGGTATGAGATGGGCCTAGTGATTGAGAGTGTTGCTGACGTGTTTATGTTGATATTGATGCCTATTGGATGTGTGGGTGTCTGTCGCAGTTGTGTGGATATGTGATGCCTAGTGTTGTGTTGTCTGGTCGCTGTTGTGTTGGTATTGATGCCTAGTGATTGTGTGTGTGTCTGGTCGCTGTTATGTTGTATGTGAATGCCTAGTGATCGTGTTGGTGTCTGTCGTTGTTGTGTTGGTATGTGAAGCTAGTGATTGTGGTGTTTGTCTGGTCGCTGGTATGTTGGTATGTGATGCATACGATTGTGTGTGTTTCTGGTCCGCTGTTGTGTTGGTATGTGATGCCTAGTGAAGTGCTGTGTGTCTGGTCGCTGTTGTGTTGGTAATAAAGATGCTAGTGATTGTGTGTTGTCTGTCGCTGTTTGTGTTGTATGTTATGCGTGATTTTGTGTGTGTCCTGGTCGCTGTCTGTTGGTATGTGAAGCTAGTGATTGTGTGTGTGTCCTAGTCGCTGTTGTGTTGGTCATGTATCCTATGATTATGTGTGTGTCTGTCCGTTGTTGTTTGTATGTGATGCCTAGTGATTGTGTGTGTGTCAGGTCGCTAATTATTTGTATGTGGATGCCTAGAGAGTGTGTGTGTGTGTCAGGTCGCTGTATGTTTGGTAAGTGATGCCTAGTGATTGTGTGTGTGTCGGTCGCTGTTATAATGGTATGAGTGATCCTAGTGATTTGTGTGTGTCTGGTCCGCGTTATGATGGTATGTGATGCATAGTGATTGTGTGTGTGTGTCTGGTCGATGTATTGTTGGTATGTATGCCTAGTGATTGTATTTGGTGTCCTGTCGCTGTTGGTGTTGGTATGTGATGCCAAGTGATTGCGTGTGTGTATTGTTCGCTGTTGTGTTGGTATGTGAATGCCGAGTGATTGTGTGTGTTTCTGGTCGCTGTGTGTTGGTATGTGATGCCTAGTGATTGTGTGTCTTGTCGCTGCTAGTGTTGGTATGTGATTCCTAGTGATTGTTGTGTGTTTGTGTGTGTGTTAACTCACCTAGTTGAGGTTGCAGGGTCGAGTCCTAGCTACCCTGGCCCCTCCTCTTCACTGGTCGCTACTAGGTCACTCTCACTGAACCGTGAGCTATATCATACCTCTGCTTTAAAGTTACTAATGTAAGACTCCTGCTCTCCACTACAGTCGCTTCCCAAACAATTCCACTTCCTGACTACGCTGTGGCTGAAGAAATACTTCCTAACATCCCGGAGAATCATCTGTGTCTCAACTCCAACTGTGACCCCTTGTTTGCTGTTCCAATCTCTGGCACATTCCTGTCTTTGTCCATCTTGTCAGTTTCCTCTCAGATATTTTTTGATTGACCGTATCATGTCCCCGCTATCTCTCCTGTCCTCCAGTGGTCGCATGTCGATTTCCTTAAAACCTCTCCTCGTAGGAAGACATAACCCCTTACTCTGGGAACTAGTGTTGTTGCAAACCTTTAGCACTTTCTCTAGATCTTTACTTTTTTGGCTAGGTATGGGTCCAAACTGGAGCCGCATACTCCAATATGGCATAACTACACGGTGTACAGGGTCCTGGACGATCCTTAAGATGTCTGGAAATGCTGTTCTAGTTTGCTAGGGCGCCCATATGTTGCAGCCAGTTATTTGGTTGATGTGCGCGTCAGGAGATGTTCCTGGTGTTAACTCACCCCAAGATCTCTTTCCTTGAGTGAGGTTTGTAGTCCTCATTCTGCCTCACCTAGACTGTACTCCGCTGCGTCTGTGTAACTCACCTAATTGTACACACACTAATTGGGGCTGCAGTGGTCGAGACTCAGCTCCTGGCCCGCCTCTTCAACTGATCGCATACTAGGTCCTCTCCCTCTCTGCTTTCTGAGCTTTGTCATACCTCTCTTAAAACTATGTATGGTTGTCTGCCTCACTACTTTACACTTGCTAGGCTAAATATCCACTTCTGACGCTCTGTGACTGAAGAAATACTTCCTAACGTCCCTGTGACTCGCTGAGTCTTCAGCTTTTTCCAATTGTGACTCCTTGTTTCTGTGTCCCCTCTCTGAACATCCTGTCCCACTGTCCACCTTGTCTGTTCCCGCAGATCTTGTATGTCGTTATCATGTTCTCCCTTACACTTCTGTCCTCCAGTGTCGTCATGCCTATTTCCCTTCAAGAACCTTCCTCGTACACATTCCCCTGACTCTGAACTAGCCTTGTTGGCAAACCTTTGTACTTTCCTAACATCTTGAGTGGTTTGAACCAGTGTGGGTTCCAGACGGTGCAGCATACGTGCGTGTGTACGCATCCTTGAGTGTGTGTGTGTGTGTGTGTGTGTGTGTGTGTGGTGTACTCCCCTATTTGTACTCACCTATTTGTGGTTACAGGGTCGAATCCCCTTAGCTCTGCCCGCCTCTTCACCGGGTTGCTCTGGCCCTCTCTCTCCCTGCTCCATGAGCTTAATAACAAACCTCGTCTTAAAACTGGTTATGGTTCGCTGGCCTCCACTACGTCATTTTCTAGGCTATTCCACGCCTACAACTCTACGACTTAACAAATACTTCCTAATTCTCTCTGACCACCCGTCTTGTGCATCAACTTCCAATTGTGCCTTCTGTTTCTTCTGTGTCCCCTCCCTGGAACATGTGTGTGGTGTGGGTGTGTACGCACCTATTTGTACTACCTAATTGTGATTGCAGGGTCGAGTCATAGCTCC